GTACACGGTATCCCAACGCACACCATGTTACACAGATAAGATACATAGTAGCCACCTTTGCAAGAGTGCTGTTCAAAAGAATATTATACCTGCACGATTGATAGACGACAATGTTTGATATAAAAGATAAAATCCAACCAGCTTCACTGTCCAATACCCACATCTCAGTTTTACATGGTTCTTATTTTGTCCAATGCGGTACATAGAAAGCCAACTTTCAGACTGTGTACATTTTAGTACATTATAAAATAAAATTGCAAGCATATATTACATGAATAACACAGATTGGCGCAAAGTGGTTTACTGGTGGTATACTCGTAGACTTAGCTATATAAAGACCTAAATTGCCACCAGTTTTATATATGCCACCGGTGATTATATTCAGATCATATATACATACCACAATGTATTTATGTTGCATCTTGCAATATTCTTACAATACAAGCATAGGAGAACCATGCCATATCATCATCATTTTTTCTTTCATAGAATGGGTATAGAGAATCATAGACATTCAGAACGTGTCTGGTTCTATAATATTGGTCTATATGGAGATAACGTAGATAACTTACAAGTTCGTGGGAGTTACTGGAAAGCTAGAACTCTATCCTCAATAAGAGAAATGTTACACCATGGAAACGTGAGTAAATCGAGATATTATTTCTAGTATATATGGAATCATATAGGAATATAAAAACACACTTGAATATGTATATCACACCAAAAGCCATGTTTTCTTTATATTTTTAGACAATTTAACTTTTTGTTGTTTGTTATTATATATGTTATGTTCATACATTTTTTGAAATTTTATCTCATATGGAACACGTCATACAAAATCAACGCTGTTTGTGGAATACATCACATCAGTCAATACATACACATTTTTACAGAATGTCGATATATTGATTCTATTGTTTATTTGACATGTAGAAACATAATACGTATATTGCGTCTTAGAATAGCTAGAATGAAAGAAACCATGATTTCAATGACATAAATCGGATCTTCAAAAATTCCGAAATGGATGATTCAATTATTATTTCTGCAAAAACTGAGCCAAATACAGGTGTTATACATAACCACGATTAACTTTTTTACTCATATAGACAATTATTGACGTGCTGAAGTTCGATATTGAGGGTGGCGAATTCCTAATATTTCATCAACTGATCAGAAGTGGTATGCTCAGTGATATAAAAGTGATTGTATTTGAACTTCACTTAGCACAGATTATGGCGTCAAACGACCGAGACATGGTCTTAAACTGTTACCGAGCTCTTAAGATGGCCTTTGAACAAAATGGTTTCAAGCTATGGAGATTACATGAAAATGAAATTATGGCGGAGAAGCACCCTGACTCGCCGTTTCGTTGGGTCGAATTGTATTGGGTCAATATGAAATATATCAAACAGAAAAACTAAACCAAAAATGCCTACTCATGTATTGTTGAAATTCTGATGTAATGTTTATTCTGTTATCTTTATTGATGAGATTTTACTTGTTTTGCAACGCATGCACATGTGGCCATTCATTAATAAAAAGTGCTAAACATAATTAGAATTTGTTATTTTATTATTATTAATCTCAATGATTTTGCTATTGGCTTTTACATTTGAAACAGCATGGTTATTCCTGATAATGGTAACACACAGGCAAAACTAAATAAATGTTTATAACCTCCCTGACGTACAGAAAAATAAATTCAATTCCCGATCTTTGCAATGGTTATTTGTTCAACAGAAACCTCTCACCATGGTACCTATATTCACCACTTGTAGAATTTAAAAATGTATTGTTTGGGAAATAAATATTGAGTGTGGCGCTGTTGTGCGAAACGACAACACAATAAAGCCATTTCAGAGCTGTATTTACTCATCTGGTTTAATTTTGTGTGCTTTTGAAGCATCGTCATATAAAAATAGCTAAAACTGCAAAAGTTGTATTCAGTCCACAGAAATTAGTACTTTTTAGTTGATGTTCATATATGTATTATTATATGATCACTGTATTTACATTATACCTGCTTTATGTTTAAATATGACTATTTGCAATCTAAGCGACTGTAAAATAGTACGTTTATCGAAATTATATTGAGCGTAATATCGTGTTCTAAATCGTCATCACAGCAATATATATCCGATAAGGATACGTTATGACTTTCGCTACCATTAAACAGTTAAACAAAATAATGTTTTTCACACAGAATAAGTTTGAAAACCAACAAATACATACATCTGCATCATTCACTGTGAATGCCAGGGGTGACGTAATGTTAATCACCGCAGCTATCATTGGTTGAGTAGAATTAATTTGTATAACCCTCAACATAGACAGTTCAGCAACACATACTAATTTGTAGTTATACTAAATGTGAAATTTTGTATTATTTTTTCCTAACCAAATTCCGCAACATTCATATCAGCTTTATTTCTATGTTCTATGTTTATCTGAAACACATTGTTGTCAGTCTTCTTTTTTGGTATACAAATCATAAAAGATATAAAAGATATAGTTATAATTATATAACATATAACGGTAACGTAAAAACTCACTATACCTAACTAAAATATAGATTTACAAATACTTTGTTAATAACCTTCTTAATTCCTTAATTTCTTTAAATTTTTCTCCAGTCATTCTTTCCAGTAAAACTATGAAAAGAATGCGAATGAGATGGAAAGATTCATGTAAATAATAAAAAATCATAGCGATGGCATCCAATATATATTGGTCTGATGACAACTGTATATTGTCTAGGAATTCCCTTTTTTGATATCGTTTTATAATAGAAGTTTCTAGTTGTAGGAATTCAAAATTTAATAAATTTGTCACAAAAAACAGTAAATATCGTGTAATTCGTATATATATATGTATTGAAAACATTCCATGCGCCAACCTGTTGAGTCTTGTTTTCATTTTAATTCATCATTGTTCATTAATACAAATTTTAATTTAAGTAATATGAACTAGCTGTTATCAGAATAGTAAATTGTTATTAATTAATATTATTTATAGCTCAATTTATTACTTTTAAAAATATTATTCGTGAATATAGAATTGATAAATTGACTTTATTTAAGTATAATCTGCAACTGTCGTGTCCGATAAGATGCCAGCACCCATACATATTTTTTGCATGTATTGTAGCGTATGTAGCGTGTGTACAGATTGTCATGTGTGAACATTACGCAGCATTGTTGTTTGAGAATGATAGCCTGACAAAATAATAAAAATAAGTATAAATAAAAAGTTCAGATTGGTATATCACGCGTGTTGCATATGAGGGTTTGATCTAAGATCAGACATTAACTCGTATAGTGAAGCATACAATGGGTGTCAATTTGAAGCTACTTTCAAAGGACAGTTATTTTATCCACAAATTGACCGAAGAAGTAATAGGCCAGAGCTAAATTTAGCCTGTGCGAGGCTATGTTAGGAGTGGGCTGTATATCACCATTTGTATGGTATATAATAAAGTTGGCATGCTATTGAATAAATCGGAACTATCTAGTGAGTCGGGGATAAGCCCAATATGTCAAACACAATGATGAATGTTTAACCATGGATAAATATCAGTTAATGGTGAAAGAAGGGAGTTTATATTCCTTGTCCAACTAGGACAAGATCCAGCATTGACAACAACGACATCAAATTATAAATAAAAGTATTGTAATGACAACATTGGCCACGATTAACGATCGAACGTGCAACATCAAGGATGCGGTAATGGCTATAATGAAAAATATACGATTTGTAATGGTCCTTTGAATGTTATGTGATATACATTGAATTAACAACACACAAGTAACATGGCGTAGATATTTTGTATTAAAAACTCATTGTACTTGCTCATTGTGCTAACTTGCTGAATCTCTCAGCTTTATCGTTTTCAATGTGCACTACTAAAATG